GGGGAGCTCCAATTCAAGATCAGGTTCCCTGCGCTCCAAAGCTGGGCACTGAGGTGACTGTAGGGGTAGGGGAGTGGCTGTCCACAGTATGAACCTTTCTTTCTCTGTTCTCAGAAGAGGACAGAGAGCTGATAAAAGGGGAGAGGGTTTCCCATGCCTCCTCCAGTGAGCCCACCCCAGCCTCACATTCACCCGTAGAGACAGCTCTCCTCTCCTCTGTAACAGTCTCAAGCATTTATCAACCCAGTCCATCTCACCAGGGGCCTTTGCTCCAAAGAGAGGGGCCAGAAGAAGGAATGGGCAGAACATGTGACTATCAAAAATGTGAAAGGAATCAAATCAGAGGACTTTCCCCAATGATCCAAGGTTCCCTGAGGAGTGCTCTATTCTTATGCTATCCCAATTGGCTTCATTCTCCATCAAAATTCTTAACAATCTAAAGACTCGTTCCCTGCCTGAGTTTTTATCTGCTCTTCCGTGGCTGGAAAAATGGAAAAACAACAGGATATTTCAACGAGATCAGAAAGCAGCCAGAGCTATTCAAGACTGCACGTACCCAACTGACCCAGCCAATCACAGAGTCTTAGAAACCAAGTGGGAGCCAGCAGAGAAGCCCAGGCCAAATCCACAGCATCCTGCTTAAGCCTCCCCCATCCATCATGGTTATTTGCCAGTGACTAAGTCCCTGCTCTGTGCTGCACTGACAAAGGACATGGGGTGGGCTGGTGGGGGCTGGGAGATTAATGACAGAGCTTCAAGGGCACCAGAGTGGTCTGAATCCACCGCCAAGCTATGTGAACTGGGAACAAGGCACTCTCCCAAAATGGGCTTCAGTGTGTACAGCAGGCAGAATAATGGCACCTCAAAGGTACCCTGGAACCGTGACTATGAAAAAGGAAGCATGACTCAGAGTCATGAAAACAGAGGCAAAGGGACTTTGCATATGTGGTTAAAAGGCTTTGAGGTGGAGAGCGTATCCTGGACCACCGTGTGCCCAGTCCTTAAAAGAGTCCTTAAAAGAGAAGAAGAAAGCAGAAAGGTCAGAGATAAATGGCACGAGAAGCACTTGACACCGTTGCTTACTCTGAAGACTGTGGAAGCAGGCTATGAGCCAAGGAGTGCAGTGGCCTCTAGAAGCAGGGAATGGCCCCCAGCTGAAAACCATCAAGGCAGCAGTGACCTTGGTTCTTCACCCACAGGAACTGAATTCTGCCAACAACTCAAATAAGCAGGGGACTGATCCTTCCCTAAAGACTCCACAAAGAGACACAGCCTAATGATGCCTTGATTTTCTTCTAGAAAGACCCATACCAGCTTCTGACCTGTATGTAATACAGTAAATTTGCTTTTTTGAAGCCACTAAATTAGTGGTCATTTGTTACAGTGTTAGAAAATGGACTCATTGTGTAGTCCTAAGTTCCTCCTTCAAACTGGGGCTCCTTTTCCTGTCAGTTGATGGAAAGGGTGGGTCAAGGTCATCTGCAAGGGTCTGGCCAGCTCTCAAAGTCTCACTCTGCTCTCCTGACATCCTACCTCCTCCAGAGCTCCACCCCAGGTCCAGGATGCTCTTGGGTTGAAGACCATTTTGGGGAAAATAGAAAGGAGCAAAGGATGGAGAAGATGAATCTTTAAAGTTAAAAAAAAAAAGTATCTTCAAAAAAAAAAAAAGGTATCTTGTTTTGCCATTGGTTACTTCCTTGGCCATTTCCCCAGAGGAATGAAGTGGAAAATCTGGGAGAGCAAGAAAAAAGCTCCATGATCAGTTGGTGGAAGCTGGCCAGAGCACGGAGTTAAGGATTCATTAGTCTTGCAGGGATTAGGTGCAAAGTCTTGATTATCAATGTCGGCCTGGGGCAAGGGATTTGGAGCAGTGACAGGTATGTCAGATGTGTGTCACAACTGCTTGAAATCAACTTGGGGATCCCAGTTTAATTTTCTCTGTCTTTTCTTCTTCCTCCTCCATTTTATTTTTTCGGATCCTATGTAGTCGGTCACCAGCAATTCACATGCCCAATCTGCCAAATCAGATCGGAGGCCAAATCAACAAAATAAGGAAACTGGATGTATTTACAACTAAGCCATGTAAAAGCACACAGTGTAGTTGGTGAATCTGGTTTGCTATTGTCCAGTATGCTAGCCAGTTATAGTCCTGGTCTGTTCCCCTTCCTGGCTACCTAACTCTTAGCCTTTTCTCCTTGACATACACCATTATAGTTCCCAGATGGGTTGGAAGGATACTAGGGGCCCGGGCGATTTACTAGTGCAGTGCCTGTTCACTTCTCACTTAACATCCCTTAGAGGCCCTGCACGTAAATGACAGAAGCAAGACCTAAATGCAAATCCCTGCCCCCTATTCCAATGAGGTTCAAAGGTTAGACCCTGGAACCAAACCACCTGAGTCCAAACCGCGGCTGCACCACTTCTTGGGATCATGGGTGAGTTGCTTACCCTCCTTGGACCTCAGTCTCAACTGCAAAATGAATATAACAATAGTCCCTACCTCATAGGATCGTGGTAAAGACTAAATGAATTAACACGTAAAATGCTTACAATAACACTTGGCTCATAGTCAGCACTCAATAAATGTCAAGTATGATTATTATTACATCATTCGGCTTGCCTGGCCCATCAGGGCGGATGCTTGCAGGATGTGGTAAATACTAACATTTACTCCTATAAACTGTGAGCATGAGTACAGGCGTCTATCTTTGATACTACTGCCAATAGTGGCAGTGTAAAATCAACCAAGATAAAGATCCTCTCTCCTTGGACACATTTCATTTATCTGTATATATTTTTTAAGCATTTATTTATTTTTGGGAGAGAGGGAGAGAGAGAGAGTGCGCACAGGGGACGGGCAGAGAGACAGAGGAGAGAGGGAATCCCAAGCAGGCTCTGCACTGACAGCTCAGGGGTCAATCCCACAAACTTAAGACCAAGACCTGAGCCGAAATCAAGTCAGACACTTAACCTGCTGATCCACCCAGACGCCCCTGTACATTTTAAACCACAGAGAAGAAACAGAAGCACACTTTTTCATAGAACGATCAGAATACGGCTAGGAAACCAACTGCGACTGTGACTGCCTGTCTACCCCCTTGGTCTGTCACCTCTGGGCCTGGTATGTGACCCAACCACACTGGGTCCCCCGAGTCTCTAATTTGGTTTATGTCTCAAACATCTCACCGCAGCTCAGCGGCTCTTAGGCTATGCCAGGGGCGGGGAATCCCCAGACCTTTCATGCAGTGGAGCCCACAGTCCTGACGTCCTGCGAAGTCACTCTGGAAACTTTGACAGAGCAGGACTTGTAGCCTTCATGGCATGACTCATACCCAGGACAGCTGGAAACAGGAGGTCCCTGCTGGAGCGGAGAAGTGCTTCTGCTCAAGTTTTTCGGTTGCTACTGAAGAAGTACATGCTGTCCTGAAGCTCAGCTGGGCTGTCCTGCACGTGCTCATGGGACTGCTGGGCGGCCTGCATAACACGCGAAGAGCATCTCCCGCTCCGCCAGATGCTCAGCTGTAGTCGTCCATCTGTCCCATCCCCCCACTTCTCCGTTTTACAGATGGGAAGGGTGAGGTCCAGACGGGGAAAATGCCTCATCAAGTAACTCAGAGTGTCTTCTGACTTCCAAAGAACTGTCCTTCCTGACTTCCAAAGAACTTCCCGCCCCCCACTCCCAACCCCCTTGGGGCATTTGCAAGCCTTCCCGTTTACCCACTGCAGTGGTACCACAGATCATAACAGATGTTCAAGGAATCTCTGATATTTGCAGCAGAGCTCTGGGGAATCTACGGCGAAATGGGAGACTCCAGAGCCCTCAGGAGCCAAGAAAGGGTAGAGCTTCAGGAAGAGGGGTCCAGCCTGGTCACTCAAAATCACAACCTTCCACAGTTGTACAGGTTTTTATGGTTTACGCCTCTCATTCTCCCACTTAATAAACCGTATCGAGCGCCTATTTGCCAGGCCCTGGGCCAAGTACTGAGGATGCTTCAGAAACAAGGCATGGAGAGACCGTCTCTTCCCTCAAGGAATCTGTGGAGGGGGGCCAGAAGGGGTGGAAGAGAACAGACAACCGGACAACCAAGTCCTAAGAAGGAGGAGGAGGTGGAGGAGCGAGCTTGGAAGGAAGGCTTCGCTCCAAGATACTTTGCCCACCCCCCCTTTCCTCTTCGATTTCTGTACACAAAGGATGTGTTCTCCATTTCAGCGATGGAGAAACAAGGCTGCGAGATAGGACGGTGACATTGCTGGGGACGGACCAGGGGAACCCACCCCACTCCAAGCCTCCTCCGCGGGGCTTTGAGAGAAGCCGCCTGGCGCGGCGCTGGGCTCACCCCCCCACCCCACCGAGCGGCGGCGCCCCGGGGGCCCCGGATCCGCGGAGACGGTGGCTGGAACTCGGGGGCTGAGAGCGGCAGAACAGGGGATCGCCCAAGCGACGACGGGGAAGCACTGCGGGAGAAGAGAGCAGAAAGAAAGGAGGACAGTTCGGAGGGCGCTGGGGCAGGGACCGCACGAGAACGGGGCCCCACGCGCGCCACCCGATGGCCCCACTCACCCCGCGATCCTCAGAGCTGCTTGGAAAGAAAGCCCGCGGCCCCCGTCGCGGCCAGATCGCGCCGGGTCGGCGGGAGGGTCGGGGCCGGGCCGGCCTCGTAGGGGCGGCGGCCGGGCCCCGGGGTCTCGGCGCGGCACGTGCCCGGCCCTCGGAGCCCGCGGCGGCGGGAGCGCGCGGGAGCGGGCGGGACGCGCGGCTGGGCCCCGGGGCTGCGCTCGGCGGCTCTGGAATGCGCGGCCGCCAGGGACCGCCCCCGGAAAGCCCGGGCCCCCGGCCGCCGCCCCGCCCCCGCCGCTCCGCCGCCCGCACTGCAGGGGGGGAAACCGGGACGGAGTTGGGGGTGGGGGGGAGCGTGTGCTTCCCCTCCAGCCCCGCCACCCGCGGGCGAGCAGCCTGGCGCGATCGCTTCGCCCGTCGGTGCCCAGCTCTCCCCGCTGACCTGAAATGCGTCCTCCAGAATCCTTTCCCGCCGTGGTCTACACTCGTGAAAGTCTAGCTGTTGGGTTTGGGCGGAGGGGCAGGGACTCAGAGCCCTTGCTTTGCAGTACGCGGAGTTTAGGATCCGTAACGAGCGGCTTCGCCAAGAGAGGGTAATAACACCTGCGTCCCAGCCGCGCTGTGAGGACGGACTTAGACGCCGGTGTGAAGCTGGTTGGTTGTCTGCTGTGACACGCCTCTGAGCACCCGGTCCATTTTTGTGACAACAGTGAAATTGCCCCATCCTGCTCCTGGGCCCAGGAGGGCTGGCCTCTGAGAGGACTCCACGCCCTGCCAGTTCCCAGCCCAGCTGCCACACAGGACGATGCCAGCTCTGCGATCTGCCGCCCGTGTGCTGCACCCAGGCACAGGGACTCCGGTCCCATCTTGGCACGCACAGTTTTACACTCAGCAGTCGAGCGCTCTTCAGTCTTGCTATGAAACACGGGAGCGCAGGCCTTGACCGTCAGTGTGACCTTGAGGAGCCTTGGAGCCCAGTTGTCTGTCAGTCTCTTCCTTTGCCCAATAGGTATGGTAAGAACCATATTGCCTTCCCCAGGCCTACACCTGAACCGGTGTGGGGGCTGACCTTACCCGCGACTGTCTTCTGTAAGTCGGGGGTGAGGTCAGCAGAAATGACATCTAAATCACTACTACCAGATGCCAGTTTTTTAGAGAGGAGGCAATAAGGATGAAGGAGGTTGACATGGGAAATGATTTGACAAAAAGTCTAGGAATTGTCACCCAACAACATATTTTAATCAAAAGAGAAGTGTGGAATCTTTAAAACAAACAAAACAAAAACAAACAACAACAACAAAAATAAGTACCACACAATTCTGAATAGTTTCATATAAAATGCTCAGTGGAAAGAAAACAAACAAAAAACCTAAAAGAGGACAATCTCAATTTAATACAAAATGTTCCCTGGTTAGAGGAAGGGGTAGGGGACTACTTTTTGGGTGGACACCTGGTAACTTCACGTGCCCTGTGTGAGCACTGGCTTCCATCCCAGAAAGTGCAGAAGCCCAGGACTGAAGTAAGCACTAGCAGGGCTCAGTCTGACCTTCCCATTTAGTACTCTATCAGTATCTCTTTTTATTTTAATTTTAATTTTTTTTTAATTTTTTATTTTAGAGAGGGAGAGCATGTGTACAAGCAGGGGAGAAGGGGCAGAGGGAGAGAGAGAGAGACAGAGAGAAAGGGAGAAAATCTTAGGTAGGCTTTATTCTTGGCGTGGAGCCCGACTCAGGGCTTGATCCCATGACCCTGGGAGCATGACCTGAGCTAAAATGAAGAGTCAGGTGCTCACCCACCTGAGCCATCTGGGCACCCCTATCAATATCTCTTTAATAATGGTCTGCCCTGGCACCCAAAAAGCAAGCCCAAAGAGAAAATGGAATATCCTATGGGAAACATACTGCATTAGCTCTGATGTCTCCGCTGGGTGGATTTTGCCAAGGGGACTTTGGAAGAGAAGAGTAATGGATGATGTGTCGGGGTGGTAGGAGGAAAAAGAAAGCCAATTTCAGCAGCAAGCTTTGTTACAGCAAAAATCAGGGAATAACTCACATTTCACTTCTTTGGTCCTCAGTTACCATCAAGAATTCAAAAAGTACAGGGCTGGGGGGAGGTGGGCACCTGGGTGGTTCAGTGCATTAAATGTCACACTCTGGATTTTGGCTCAGGTCATGATCTCACAGTTTCATGAGTTCGCACCGTGTCTGGCTCTGTGCTGACAGCGCGGAGCCTGCTTGAGGTTCTCCCTCTTTCTCTGCTCTTCCCCTGCGCATGGGCCTGCTCTCTCTCAAAATAAAAATAAAAATAAAAATAAAAAGCAAAAAAAAAAAGCAATGCATACTGGGAGATCCCCCTCCCATAGTGGGGGTAATTTGAATAAAAGAAGTTGTAGCCTACACTGCCTAAAGGGGGCCCCTCTGGGATACAATCCATCTCAGAAACCCCCTGTGTGAATCACAGTTATACAAGAATTTTCTTCTTTCATATAATTTTCACTTGTACAAGTACAGTTATTTATTTCGTTTTGGGAAATAGCGTGGTATATTGGTTTGGAAATCAGGAAACCAAAATTCTTAGTCTGTCACTTAGTAGCTTAATGATCATTAATGCCTCAGTTTCCTCACTTGTAAAACAGTAAAATGAGACCGATTCCTTCTGTCGCAATCATTGTGAGTAAAGATTTCATTCATTTGTTTATTCAAAACTATTCACTGAAAGTCTTATATGTGTACTAGGCACCGAGGAAGACAAATTCTCTTTACTGTTGTTCACATCTAGAGGGCAAATGTTCACCATAAGTAAACAAACAAATAAGCAGAGTGATATTAATTTGTGAAACCATGAAGAATATAAAACGAGATGATGTAATAGAGCACATTTTATGTTTTATCATGGAGATTGTAGTTAATCTGAATTTCGTGAATCATTTGTATTGTCGATGATCAGGTTATTCTATAATATATCAGCTTAGATGTAATTTCCAAGATCTTTTATTACGCTTTAAGAATTTGGAATGATATTAAATTAGTCTGGATAATTTCTAAAGAAGATAGAATACAAAAACATTCATCACTGAGCATGGTATGCATATACACACACACACTCACCTTTGCCTCTTATTTTCATATGGTTGAGAGTAGATAAACTTTTGGGGTATATTAGCGTATACATTCAATTTTGCCATTTTAAGAAACGCAAATGGAATGTGTGTGACCATAGGTTTTTAAATGTTTGCTTTGCTGGTCTGCTCAATGTTTGTATATTTCAAACCATACTCAGTTACTTGCCTACAGTTACTTACTTGAGGAAATAGAAGGTACTTAATATTGCTTAAAAGATGTAATTCATGTGCTAAGAGAGTAGATCTCAATGTTCTCACCACAGAAAAGAAATGGTAACTATGTGACCAGATGGAAATGGTAGCTAATACTATTGTGGTATGTGCACAGTGGTATGTGCAGTTTATAAATGTATCATATCAACATGTTGTACACCTTAGACTTACACAATGTTCAGTGTCAAGTATATCTCAGTAAGGCAGGAAAAAAGAAATGGCTAGGATCCCCTTTTATTCAATATAATGGAAACCAGGAAAATCTTTTTAAGATATGCAAATAAGATATGAACAAATGTATGAACATATCATTTTTCAAGAAGAAAAATCTAGTCTGTAACAATGTCAATACTCTTCAAATAAATGTATAAACCGAGAAAACTTTGTAGTTTATATTGGGCATTGAGACTATCTTAAGAACTGAAATAGTAAAGAAATATAAATATAGGATAAGATTATGTGTGCGATTTTGTCATCAAAGGAAAAAGAGAGCAATTTCATCTTGAAGTAAAAAACTGCCAGAATGTGAAAGATTAACAGCAACAACTTTTGAATGGGTAAGCTGTAAAAGTTTGATGAAAAGGAAACTTGATTTCCTTTTTTAAAAAACTTTTAATGTTTACTTTTGAGAGAGAGAGAAAGAGAGAGAGAAAACAGAGCATAAGCAGGGGAAGGGCAGGGCAAAGAGAGAAGGAGACACAGAATCCAAAGCAAGCTTCAGGCTTCTAGCTATCAGCACAGAGCCCACCTGACATGGGGCTTGAATTCACAAACTGTGAGATCATGACCTGAGCCAAAGTCTGGACACTTAACCTACTGAGCCACCCAGGCGCCCCAGGAAACTTTGTTTCCTTGGTTTATAATACCTGCAAATAATGAGTCTAAAAAGAAGCAATGAAGTATGTTAAAATTTTTATAAAATTGGCTCTGTTTTAATGGGCTTACTCATAAGACTTTAAAAGGCTCTTCCTGGCAATTGTTACATTAACGCAGGAGTAGAATTTGGTTTTGTTTTTTTCTATGTTAATGACATGCTCATCTTGGAATATTCATTTTGTTATTTTTTCTTTTCCTTTCTTTCTTTTTTTTTTTTTGAAAGGCAGACTGTCCATGAAGCACCTCATTTGGATGTGTCTGGAGTGTTAGAGGCTCGTCTCCCCTACGTTCTCCTACAAATGGGCCTTGTGAGCTTGTTTGGAGGCTGTAGCATGGGAGCACAGGTACCTATAGATGCACTTGACCGAGGAACAGTCCTTCTCTATGGGGAAAGGTCATCCTTTTCCACCGCGTGCGGCTTTGGGAGGGACTCACTGGGAGAGGTGAGGGAGAAAGGGGCCACCTGCCTAGCCAGATCAGACAAATCAACCCTAGAGATCAATGGGGTGACAGATGTCACGGCCAGCTCGCCCTCATATCCTCAGTTTGTTTTTAACAAGAGATAGTGAAAATTATTTGTAATTTCTGTATAATCTGCCCAAGAAGCAGATATTATATATCTGATCAGAATAACTTTCTGTGTTTTGTGCTTTTTCATGCCCTTGTATTTAAAAACAAAACAACAGCAGAAGTTCCTCATTTCTTTTTTTTTTTTTTTAATGTTTTATTTATTTCTGAGAGAGAGAGAGAAACAGCATGAGCAGGGGAGGGTCAGAGAGAAAGGGAGATACAGAATCCAAAGCAGGTTCCAGGCTAGCTGTCAGAACAGAGCCCGATGCGGGGCTCAAACCCACGAACTGCAGAATCATGACCTGAGCCAAAGTCAGACGCTTAACCAACTGAGCCACCCAGGTGCCCCAGAAGTTCCTCATTTCTTAAATAAAGTTCCTTATAATGATACCTACAGATGTTTATTTTTTTAAGTTTATTTATTTATCTTGAGAGAGAGAGAGTGATAGCAAGAGCAAGGGAGGGGCAGAGAGAGAGGGAGAAAAAGAGAATCCCAAGCAGGCTCTGCACTGCCAGCACAGAGCCCGATAAGGGACTAGAACTCACAAACAACAGGATCATGACCTGAGCCCAAGGCTTAACAGACTGAGCCACACAGACGCCCATCTACAGTTACGTTTATTTAGTACTAGTGTATTGTCACTCTGACTAATAGGCAGCAGGGGTGCCTGGGTTAAGCATCTGACTTCGGCTCAGGTCATGATCTCGTGGTTTGTGGGTTTGAGCCCCACATCAGACTCTGCTGACAGCTCAGAGCCGGGAGCCTGTTTCTGATTCTGTGTCTCCTTCTCTCTCTGCCCCTCTCCTCTTGTGCTCTCTCTTTCTCAAAAATAAATAAACATTAAAAAGAAAAAAAAAAAAAAAGGCAGCCACGCTACAACCATTCATTGTTCCCAGGCCTCTATGCTTCTGTCTTAAGCTAGGGATGATTTTTCTTTGAAAATTCTCTT